GCCACTAATGTCAGCCACCGCTGCACCCCCATCCCCCCCCCCCCCAAGTTGACATGTACACACTGCGGTCGAACTGGGCCAGTATACGACGGCACCTACACCAAACGTGTGTCGAGGAGCATTGTGAGTAGCCATGAGGGGGCCAACAGAAGGAGGTGCGAGGTACCTTCGGGAACAAAGGCGGGTCCGAGCTGGGGGGAGGAGTCCGCCAAAGGGGTTCTTAGGAGGACCCCGTGACGAAGGCCGGGTCGTTGTGGGGGGCCAGGGAAAGGATCGCCTGCAAGGTGTCTCTCCCTCTTCGTCGCCGGGTGGTGTTGGTTGAACCCCCGCTCTGGGCAGACGAGTGAGAGAGCCCCAAAGGATAGCCGAGGGCAGGACCAGAGGACGTTCAGTGTCCGGGGTAAAGGACCGAGATCGAGAGCACACCTACCTCTGGTGTGAGCCGAGAGTGTTGGGTGTAACAGCGTTTCATAAAGGGCAACAGCCCTTGTAGTATTCCTCGTCTCTGCGTGGTTCTAGGGCACGGCACGTGTACACCGGCGACTATCACAGCAGTTGCTCTTCCCATACTGCAATGGGAGTTACCATGGGCTGCTACGGGACGCGAATAGGTTTCATATCAGAATCAGAATATTTATTTATACTGGAGGAATCCGATGAGAACATTACAACAACTAGCAATACAAAACACGATAGGAGTGCACAGTATAGGAAAGGTTAAGCAAATCACTTAAAAAAATATACAAATACAAATAAACAATTTTTTATCTTACCAGGTAAAGTCCACTGAGCTCTTTGCTTCTTTTCCCGAAGCGACCTGGCCACAAATTATAGCCCAACGAAGTGGCTTATCATGTAGTAATGTATAGCAGCAAAATAATCTAAATAATCGATGCGATGGTCACTCATGATATAGGGACTTCTGCAATTCTATTTCTACCGCTGTGTCTGTGTGTGTGTGTATATATACAGGGTGGCCGAAAAGTCAGGACACATAGGGCTATTTCATGTATTTTACCACTGGAATTAAAACAAAGTTGTTTCATCTTTAAGTTAATATTTGATCTATTATCATTACAGTATTACTGTCTGTGTTTTTTCTTCCCGTGAGGTTACCTCTAATCCGTCGTTGGCAAAACTCGACCAAGAATCCTGAATGATATCCATAGTACAGGTTTTTTGGGTGAAGTCGCGTAAATATAAATGTGTCGTTAAACCCGTCACCACCCGACACAGCCAATTAGTAAGGTTTATCACGTAAAAAAACATGCCAGTTCGTTACTAGTACAACACACCGGTGTTTTGGAAAGTAAACCCACAACATTTACAATTCTAGTTTCGCCAATAATTACAACTAGTATCATCAGGCGACAGTCAAATTTATTGAGAAATCCTCCTGTTTCATTCTTAAGTATTACGGATAATATTTTGCCGCGAAAGCCTACGTGATAATCCTGAATGAATTGAGATAAAACCTCAGTACCAAATGTTCAAAGATTACAGCTGGAATCTTCAAACAAAAGTCCTTAATCCATTTCAAAAGAGAATTCATGCATTAATGGTAATGGAAGTCAGTTTGGATAGTTATTTTAAAAAAATGTAAATGACCATATGTGATTTATTAAAATAATTAAATAACCTTACATGTCTTGAATTTTGGGCCACCCTGTATATGGCGCCACGGTGGCGAGATGTTAACTACCTCGCCTGGTATACAGGAGAGTCGTTGGTTCGATCCCAACCCTGACTCTTATATATTTGGAGTTTGCATGTTTATATTCTTGGGTTTTTTCGGTAAAGTCACGTAAGGTAAACATTTTTAATTAAAATCAAATATTTTATTTTAATTGTAATTTTTAATTTTTTACCCACGTGACTTTACCAAAAAAACCCAAGAATATGAATCCTTGCAGTCACGAAAGCTGCAAGTCTAATTTGCATGTTCTTCCCGTGGTTGCGGAGATTTTTCTCTGGGTCCTCCAGTTTGTCCCTCCACATTAGAAACGCGCGTGAAGAGTATTTGGTAGCTGGAAATTGCCACGTGATAAGCCACTTTGTTGGGCTATCACTTGTGGCCAGGTCACTTCTGAAAAATAAGCTAATAGCTCAGTGGGCTATACCTGGTAATATCAACTGAAATGTACAGTATAGCACGCACAAAGAGATGGGTAGAGAAGACCTAGCCCATGGAACAGAAAGGTCAAGCTGGCTGGCTGACTGAGCATTGTTTTGCTCGGCCAAAAGCCCCCTGTTGGTTCTCATGCTGCCCTTTTCCCATAAAAGCTGGCAAGAACCTGAGTGCCGTATGTGCATTATGAGTGTGTGCATGTGTTGTGTGGGTGTGTACATGTGGTCATCTCTGTGTACATGTGGTCATCTGTGTGTGTATGATTTAATCGTTGTGTGCATGTGTTGCGTGCGTATATTGTGTGTTAATCTCTGCGTGTGTGTGTGTGTGTGTGCAACGTGTCTATCTGTGTGAATGTGACGATGTGTGTTCCTTTGTGTGTATGCTCTTTTATGGGGAGCGGTGGCGCAGCGGTTAGGGCACTGCGCTTCAAATCTGGCGACCGGAGTTTAATTCTCACTCACGGCCAACGCCGGTGACGATTATCTGAACCGGTCCTGGGCCTCCGCTAAGTCGACTCGGCCTTAAATGAGTACCTGGTGCGGTGTGTAAACATCGCCACTGGGGAGACAAAGGCGGTCGGGCGTGGTGCTGGCCACCCACCTCCTCGTGTGCCGTCACGGCCTTCATAGGTGCTCGCTAACAGCACTTGCCCCAACATTCTGTTAAGGCTATACGGGGGATGTTTGTCTTGGTTCTTTTTTTCCTTTGTGTGTGCATGCACGATTGTGTGTGGTGCATGCACGATTGTGCGTGGCATACATGCGCTTGTGCCAGTAATAGACCCTCGCTGTCGGCACCTTGCCTGTGTTTTCTCTCCTGCCAGGCCTGTGCAAGCGATAACAGAGGCTACAGATGTCACTTGAGACACAATGCAGCTTGCCTCTCGTCAAATAATGCCCTCTAATCGGCCATGGTGGGGGGGTACAATAGGTGGGATGTGATTCATAGCTGACTCCATCAGCACAGAGCTGATTCTGTCACTCTGAAACTGTACAGGACACATAACGCGCACCCATACAATTAAAGAATTATTCATTCTCGAACAATGTCTGTATTTTTTCTTAAGCATCGCACCAGTACGCGCTCTATATAGATTAGTCGACCTACGTAGTTCTCCGCAACGCAAAGTATCAGTTATAGTCTTAATTTGATGTTCACGTCAATTTAGCACGTTTCACGGATTGCCCCGTTTATCCAGTTGCCCGGCTATTTTACGAGCGAGATCCGTGGCGCGTGAACGCAGCGTCAAAACAAAAATACAACGAAACGTGAATATTGCGGAGAATGAGCACGGGGTCCTGAAGGAATATTGCACTTTGTGGACGCAATTAAGAATCTTGTTGCACTTTCACGTGTTCTTGTTTGTGTGTGTGTGTGTGTTTGGATTCAGTAATTTGGAAAGCAGATTGAATTTCTCCCATCTGACAATAATGATACAGGCCACGTGTTTATCAAATGTTATTCGACTCTACGACATTATATTTGTCAATAATAAAAAGAAAAGTCATTTAACGTGTACGCAGACATTGTCAACCAAATTACGTGACATTGAAGTTATGTTTAAGTTAAGTTCCGTAGTAAAAAGAAGAAACGACTCGATGTTTCGGGCAGTCATACTCTTAAGTTTTTTCGGTAAAGTCACGTAGGTAAAAAATAATAGAAATAAAATAATAATAAATTAAAATAAATAAATTAAATCACGACGTTTCGGAGGCAACGCAAGTCTCCGTCTTTTACAGTCAAATTTGCAGTAAATTTAGCTGTGACGGTCCCACCTGAAGACGGAGACTTGTGTTGCCTCCGAAACGTCGTGATTTAATTGATTTATTTTCTATTTCTATTATTTTTTTACCTACGTGACTTTACCGAAAAAACCTAAGAGTATGAATCCTTGCGGTCACGAAAGCTTCAAATCTAGATTTTCGGCCAGTCGCCCTTCTTCACAGCACATGTACTGCAGCAGGTGATTGTCAACTTACCATGGGTGATATTCATATTTTAACTTTCAACTAGCATTTAACTTGCACAATGTGACTTCAGCAGGCAAGCAGGCTTATTACATCTGAGCTCATGGCTATGTGCGTGTGCACGGCAGTATCGTGGAACTCTAATGTGTTGCGGAGCGGTGGTGCGGTGGTTAGCGTGCTGCTATGCACCGAGAAACCCAAGTACAATTGCAGCTCATGACCAATAACAGTGGTGAATATTTTAACCGGTCCTGGGCCTCCACTAGGTTGACTTAGCATTAAATGAGTACCTGGTGCGGTGTGTAAACATCAGCATTGGGGAGACAAAGGCAGCTGGGTGTGGTGTTGGTACTCGCAAACAGCAGTTACCCCAACATTCTGTTAAGAGGCTATATATGAGGTCTTTGTCTTCATAGGTCTATCCCGAATAGATAAGTTGCCCATCTGGACAAACGCTTGTGTCTGCCCCTTATCTCTTAAGGTAAAATGTGACGTTCTAAAAATTTCCAATGACATCATTTAACATACACCCACTTCCTTCCCTACATCTTGCGCTGATAAAGCAATGCTAAAAACTTAAGCCCGCACCACTTTTCAATCTTATACACAGCACTGTCTTGCCCAAGAAAGTTGAGTAACATTTAAACATTCCGTACCATGCTTGCCCGGTAGCACGTGTTGCAAACTGAACCATCTGTTAGTGAGACATCAGACTTGCGATATTGCTTATGTCGCTAATGTAGCATTGTATATCCTCTCTGTGAATAGTAAAACTACAAAGTCTTGTACTGCCCCGCACTCAAATATAAATATTCAAAACCACGCTTGCAGCCAATGCTGAATTATTTAATGACGTATAAAATATGCATCGGTGATTGTGTTTGTTGTTTTCTGCGTTGCAGCCCGTAGGATTTGCGATGTTTGACAGCAGATCGGAAGCAGAGGCAGCAAAAAATGCTCTCAATGTGAGTATGGTTGGATGCACACGTCACATACACTTGGCACGTTCCTTTATAAGGTCGCGTCTGCTGGCCTTGACGTCAAGTGGTTCGCTGTCGAGTAAGGTGCTTTGCTGGGACTTTGGCTCGTGATTAAAAAGAGCTTTTTTGGGTCTGTTCACACTTCATTTACGCTGACCCAAGTTCTGAGCGATTGGCGAAAGCTGCGAGACGTGGCCAAGCTTTGCCATGATTGTGTTTTTTTTCTTCCTCGTGAGACAGAGCACAGGAAACAACATTCACACAGTCGGTGGTATCACTGCAGTTGAATGCATTTCCACTGGTGCACCCCGGCACGAGCGGACTCAAGCGATGATTAATTTGTAGCTCGATTGATGTTTGAGTGCACTCAACAATAAATTCCTTGCGGCTTCGGATGACAATTTATTGAGGCACCCATCGTTATATTGGGGTCCTAGCGGGCATTGATAGTCGCTTCGGTTTTTCACAGTTCAACAATTGAATGTCAAACGAGCGGCCAGGTCTTGATCGTCGGTTGTTCGCCGTCGGATTGATTTTGGGCCGAGCACTTTGAGCAGCGGCTGTCGTTGCCAGCTGCACCGTCACGAGCTGCTGGACGCCGCGCTCATGTGAGCGCTCGGTGCGAGCGCTCTAAACTTGATTTGGAGCTTTTGTGACTGCAGGAATTACTCTTTTGGTTCTTTCGGTAGAGTCACGTAGAAAGAAAATAAATTTAATAATAGCATACGACGTTTCGATTGCAACACAAGCAATCATCATCAGGTACGAATGAAAGATTTAAAAAAAACCTAGTAAACTCAGAAATATAATGCAATACAACACAGAGACTAGGCTAACATAACAGTCAACACCCTATCTGGTTTCGATTTAAAGCTTTCGTGGCTGCAGGGATTCATCTTCTTGGTTCTTTCGGTAAAGTCACGTAGAATGAAAATAATAAAATGATAAAAATAAAACATAATAAACGTCGTGAGAATTATTTTATTATGTTTTATTTTTATTATTTTATTATTTCCATTCTACGTGACTTTACCGAAAGAACCAAGAAGATGAAACCCTACCTGGTTGATTAACGTTCTTCCAAAGAGTGCTAAATTTGAGAGAGAGACAAAACACAGACACGGAGACACACAGACAGACACATACCACTCGCTGTTAGCGCTCGGTGCTTGTGCGCTGAAGGTGATGGTGAGCACCCCTCGACGGGTGTCGTTCATCAAAGCGCCCCTGGCGAACGCCTTGTATAATTACCCCTTTGCCAAAATGTTTACATTTTTACTACAGGCTTCCCCATGTCGATGCCATCCCACAATATTGACAATGACCACAATCCATGTCGCTGCTGAACATATGGGGTGGCGATCTTAATGCCCTCGCCTGGTATGCAGGAGCTCGTGGGTTCGATCCCGACCCTGACGCCTACATATTTTAGAGTTTGCATGTTCCCCCCGTGGCCACATTGATTTTTGCGCCAGGTGCTCTGGTTGTCCCCGCCACATTTAGAATCGACACGCATTTAGAGTTTTTGGCTACTATAAATTTCCACGTAATAAGCTACTTCGTTGAGCAATAATTTGTGGCCAGGTCGCTTCTGAAAAATAATCTAATATCTCAGTGGGCCTTACCTGTTTTAGGTTATTGTTGTAACGTTTTGACCCGCACTTACTAGACATCTGTGAAAAAGAGCTTCATAAGCTCATCGGATTCGTCCAGTTATACATAAAGATTTTCATTCTGATTTCGCAACGCCCACATGATGGGGGGGGGGGGAGAGTTGGTTTTTTTTCTACTTGTGGCGTGCCATTTGTTTTTGAAGTGACATACACACCTAGTTGGCAAGACGAGCCGTCGACTTGCCCGGTAACGATCCTGCGTGTGCATTTGTAGCGGCCGTTTGTAGCGGCTTGTGGAGTTGCCGTTGTGAATGTGCACTCCAAAGTAACGTCGTTTCGCTCTGTTGAAATCAATTAAGCTTTATCAAATATGCCACCATTCACAATAAAATCGTCACAGAGCATTTCACAGGTAAACGTAGCATTGCGTCGAAACAATTAAAGTTACACGAAACAATACAAAGCATAAACATACCCTCAAAATCTATAAAAGAGATTATAAAATGCATCTTTAGCCTGCTTTTAAAAACCGTGACACCTTCTTTATCAGATGTCGTTCATTGGTGAACGCCACGTCAACAAAACAGCAACAAGCACGTTTCACCATGAGCATGCTTCACGCAGAGACACGTAACCCACAAAACCGGACTAAGATTCCTCAAACTCAGACTTGGAAATGTTGTACTGCTAAGGTCAGCATGTCTACCAATGAGCAGACCCTTCCCCAGAGCTCACCATCAACGAGTGTGAACATGTGCTCGATCACTTCTCATCTCAACATGTCAGTACGTAAACGACTGCCTTAACTCGTGCACGATTGCATATTTGTTGTCCGATGATAGTTACGTCACAAAAATGAGCATTCATTGACGTGTAAGATTAAAAAAAAATATTCTAAATAATACCCTTTGATTCTCCATAAAATTCTTGCTGTGTCTTGAGACTCTTTTTTTCAGTACGGGGGGTGAAGGGGAGGGTCCTGGATTGAGATGTTTGGCCGATTTATACATTTGGGTTTGGCTTTTTTGGGAGGGGAGGTATAGAGCCCAGAGAAAACGTACACACGTACGAGGGGATAACACTGCAAGTTTCCACACAGATGGATTTGGTCCACTTTGTTGTGCTGCCATCTCCTGGCCACGTGGCAGCCCAGCAGGTTTGGGAGATCTGCCGAGAACGACTGCCCTCCCACCTCGTGCTGAATTACAGCACGCCCTCGTCAAATAAATATAGGTTGTTTTGTAAAAAATAAATAAACTGCTAAGTATATTTTTAGGTTTTTTTGTTCAGTCTTAATAGCTGTCTCGTTCATTAAACAAACAAAAAACATTACTTTCCATTAATTGCCTTGCATGATGCCTTAAATCTGTTTAATGCATGCTGTAATATGTTTCAATGTTTAAGTAGCCACTAGTCATATTATGTTGGAAAAATCATGATTCAATGTTTTCTTCAAATTTTTACCCATTTTTTTATATTCGGTTTTGCATGAATTTTGCGAAATATGAGAACTCACAATTTGTGATTAGCACTATTACATTATAGAGTGTGTTTACAATAAGGCCCTGCTCAATCATGTGGAGAGCTTGAACGCACAAGGCTCATCATATTCTTTGTGAGTGTGGCCCTACCTGGCACACTGTCGGGTCATTTTTTTTTTAGTTTTCTGATCCTTTATGAGAAGGTGAATTTGGTCTGAGCGCAGAGTTTAAAATAACCTTGAATGTTTGCAGATGTGCACTTCATATCTGTCTGTTTTTTCTTTTTCAAACAAAGAAGTGCTTTGAATGTCATCACTAATTCTACATTTGTGTGGGATCATTAATAGTCCTGCCCTGACAGCATGTGGCTTGATGTTTATTAATCTGATTAACAATTAGATTGAGTACGCTGAACCTATGTGCACTTACGAATTTCATCTGTGGGCTTATTTTATATCTCTTTCAACAGGAGCAAAAAATATACTCATAACACCCTGGCAGACCATACTGACAACATAAAAAAACCACGTAGTTCATACATTTCGTTACTTCCATGCATGAGGTATCATTTACTGAAATCTGTGAAAAAATGACATCGTGTGTGCAAGGAGCTAGGTGATAAATCATCCCCTGAATAGGTCACCAACCTGCCGCGAGATGTTTTAAAACCAGCCTCCAATCACAGAGTCCCAAGTGGCAAGCGGACGGACAGTCGTTGCGCAATTATTTTAAGGGCCTCTGTGACAGCCTGCAAAATCAAACCTCCGACACCAAAAGAACCCAAGGCCACTCTGTAGGTCACTGGGTTCATTAATGCAGGCGTTTCAAAAGTAATTTATAAACTGAAGTACTTCCTCTAACAGAACATTATTACCTGAGTTTTATTGTGGTTTAGTGGCTCAGTGGGATAACCGTCCTGTGCCTCTGCGCCGAGTCAACAGAACCTCTATGCTCTGAGCTTGAATTCAGCCAGGAGAAGATCGATTGAAAAGCTGTGAACTCTGGGAGACCCCTCGAGTGTGCGGTGCTCAGGTGCATGGTCACTTTGTGTCCCTGCACAAAAACAGCGTCCCCAAATAGCTCCGTCCAAGGGCTTCCTGTCTGCTGGCCTCTTGGGTAGTTTCTGGTAAATATATAAGTGCGCTTCTTTGCTGCTTGTGTGATTGTACAATTAACTTGCTCAAATACATGGAGCCGTCGTGACAAGTAATTTGTCGTGTTCGTCTAAGCTATCAGTTGCCTTGAAAAAACACGATTTAGCTTTTATTGCAACTGTATTTCAATCCTGAGATTTGCATATTGTCATAAAATGAAGAAGTTGACGTCAGAACTCTGCAGCTAGCAGTGCACCATCCTCTGAAGTCCCTTGGTCACGCCTCGTTATCCACACCGAGAACACACATTTTATTTCTTGGCGATGACAGTTCGTCACGTGTCAATTAAACCTATTTTTTATTAAAGTCTTAAGATGTTGGAATACACCACACAAAGTGATTTTTGAATGTGTTGGGTTTGGGTTTGTTTATGCTGCCTATTGGTGATTGGGATGAAACCATCGACAAGAACCCACTTTGATCAAGGGTGTCTGTCCGTATTCCAACCCAGGATCTCAGTCAGTGGTGCTGGCTCACTGATCTGATCCCTGAGCCACCTGGCCACCTTCAACTAATTGACTTCTGAAGAGATTTACTCTTTTATAAATTATTTGCGATGGCACACAGTGCAAGCCACGCCGTGTAGCACTGTTGATATATGTGTTATTGCAAGGTCACAAGAACAGTGCCGTGCACTGTCTCAACCACACGAACGATCGTTCGATATTGTAGACTGCACAAATATTTTCGCATTTTTATTTTTAGTATTGTAGTTGCTAAGAAGAAGCCGAGACATGTAACACAATGTGGCCGGCATTAAACGACAACTGGACGGAGGATAGTGGGTGAGACATGATGGACCTCTACAATCGAGTTGGATTACATGAGGGTTGTGACGGAGTTCCGAAGTTAAGCTGTGAAAGAAAAGAAAATTTGGGTACCCGATGATATTATGTTGAGCTTTTGCACCGTACGTAGCCACGGAGGTGTGGGGGAAGGACAACACACTAAACACAAAAGCAGTGCTAAAGAAATTAGTTTTCATATTTAAAAGTGGATAGCTGCAGTGGCTTCCTAATATCGGAAGGAAGAGCATTCCAGATGGCATCTGGAATGCTCGTCTTTGTTCGATGGCTAACCAAAAGATTCAATGGCTCACCAAGAGATAATAATCATCAAGCATCTCGGCTATTTTAAAATACTGTACACAATCACATTATTCTATGTGTTTTAAACTCATTCAATTGATTCACGTGTTGACGTAATTATTATTTAATACCAGGTAAGAGCACATTTAGACGTTGTGTTTTTCAAGGGCAATCTTTGAGGAAAAATAGATCGAAAGCTTAATTGTGAAAGTTTTTTATCCACAATATCATTGTCCTCATTGTCCCATTATGGTCATCAGAAAGAGTTTCTAACTGGTGGAATATTTTTTACATTTCTTCAGAGTTTGACTTTTTTTTTGGAAAGTTCTTTGTCAGGTTAATCGATAAAATAAATAATACAACAATGACATTAAAACACTTTGAATGGAGGGAATTCGTTCTGGCAATATAACTTGTAAATGTGGAAACAGTGAACATCAGCATGTGTGGTTTGCTAGCCCTTTAAGTCAGTATGGAGGAAACATGGCTCAAGCCTTGCTGATGACTCACAAATTCATTGAGTAGACCTTTACGTTTCAACGCAATATAGCGATAACTATAGCATTGAGTCTTGATACAGAACGTAAAAAAACCCAAAAATAGTTGACTTCTGAAGTGTCATGTGTGTACGTTAACAAATGGAACAAAATGTCATGTAAGAAAGTAACAGTTGTACAGTTGCCATAAAGAAAGTTTAAAAGGTGCCGTGTACAATAAAATGAGAGAAAACAAGACCATCTTTTTAAATACCTGGAGTGTGACAAATCCAATTTCTATACGAATGAAAACACCGCAAGCAAATGCCTAGGATACATGGGCATTAGAGAATACTTAGTATGTTGCAAAACAATGCGAATCTGTGGCAACACTTAATATCCTGTTCAGAAAATGTTTGTATTGTCATTCTCTTAACATATATTGTATTTTTTGTGTTTAGTAGATGTATGTGCAGGGCACGTTGTGCTCTTATTTGGCATTACCCGGCTGCTTAGCGTCCACGTAAACAGCCTCGCCATCTGCTACCGATGCCTTATTTGGGTGTAAATGCCAGCACGAGGTGGAAAAAAATTCATTGAAATTCCCCAACCCTGAACGGTGTCGGCCACACCAGCGAAACCCTCCGTTGGTGTCGCATTCCCCGCGCGCGCTGCCACTCCTCCCCAACATTTTGACGCGCAGACGGAGCTCGACACTCTGCCTCTGGGCACCAACTACAATGTGGCCAGGGGACGGCAGAACAGCCATGGATTCTTGACTCTGTCTGTGCTGAGCTTTGAACGTTACCCTCTCGTATTTGTGAGGGGGTACCTTGTGACTTTGTCCCACAAGCCAAAGCAATCGTATTCCAAACAGCCGCCAACGTGGAATCTTTCGGGGAAAAGAGTCTTTTGGCTCGTTGAGGCTTTGCTAGGTAAATACAGGCCATTGCTGTTATCCAGATTCATGTAATTTTGTATCATCTTGTGTGCACATCAATCCCAGTGTCATGATGTCTGAATACTCACGCACGCGGTGCGGTTTACTTGTTCCCCTGACAGGGAATTCGTTTTGACCCGGACATCCCTCAGACGCTGCGGCTGGAGTTCGCCAAGGCCAACACCAAGATGGCCAAGAACAAATTACTGGGGACACCAAACCCCACGGTGCCGCATCCCGCTCTCGGCCCACACTTCATCGCCAGGGATCCTTGTAAGTGTGCTACGGGGCTCGAGGGAGTAAAGGGTTTGTGGCATGAATGCAGGAAGCAGGGGGATTTTAATTGTGGGAGGAAAAGAAAGCAGCGGCATGATGGATCAGGAGGATGGGATGGATGGGCTTAGGGTAGTTGGCAGGAAAAGAAATAAATAGTTGGGTAGGAGTGGAGGGGATGGTTTGGAGGGAGGTCAAAGGGTTTGCTGGAGGAGTAGGTGGGTGAGGCTGAAGTGGGGGAGGTGGCGTAAGCACAGGCTGGTTCTGCCGGCCGACACAGTGTGTGTGTGTGGGTAATTTTTTGGGACTACATGTTAACATTCGACCTTGTGCAATCACGCGCTTTGCACGTTGTTTGCAAATAATTGTTGGCAGTGGGCTCGGTAACACACCGGGTCGCGTGCTTCTTTCGTGTGCGGTGTGTAGCCACTACCAGGGTGGAACAAGAGGAAGTGGAAAAATAATAACTGGCCCTAAAAAAATCCAGAGGGGTTAAAAGATGTTGCGTCCCCACTGTCTTGGAGAACACCAAAGCCCTTTGGTTGCATTTCAACTATTTGTCTTGAATATTACGAACGTGTACAAATCACTCAGCTTAGTCTGATTGGCCTTCATATTCTCAGGATTTGCTGGTAACCATCACACAGCCCTGCGGTAATGTATGCATGTATGTTGAACTTCTTTTGCACCGTTGGTAGCCAACCATGCTAATCGGAGGTGCGAGAAGACAACAAACTGTACCCAAGAAGCATTTCTAAAGAAATGAGTTTTCAATCTAGATTTAAAAGTGCATAGTGGCTTCCTAACATCGTAAAGGAAGAGCGTTCCAGATGGCCGCAGAAGCACACCTGCAAGCGCGCGATGCAGTGGCCGTCTTTGTTCGTTGGCCAGCCTAAAGCCGCTGCGAGGATTATTGGAGTTCGTGTAATGGATTATGTTCCTTGACGATGATGCCTGATCCAAAAATCCATTAGCGTCCGAGTGTTTACTCTGCTGTGATGCGTTGTCAGAGGCTCGCTTGAGCTCCATCGCTCGTTTCCTGCTGAGCCAACTTTACAACCTGCCCAGGGACTTGCCCACTCATGGGAAAGGATTTAGTAGAGGGGAGCGCACAAAAATATTAGGGCAGAATCCCTGCCGGCCCAAAACCGGGAAAAACTGGGGCCGTCTCTTAAATTAGGATTATTGCCATGAAGTAAAAATGTGTGGGGCTACACTAACATGGAAACATTGAAACTCTGGTCACTTGTTGGTCTTACGATTATTAGTTCAACCACAGTATCCTGTATGTATCAAGGAGACTATATAACCCTGTTGAGACAGTGAAACTGACTCTTTTGCAAGAGTGACCTTTGGGTGGAAAAGACAAAGTTTAACATTTAGGAACATCTTCATGGCCTTATTCAAGATGAAGTTTGGCAGAAAAGTATTTACACTACCATCTTTATCCATACAAGTATTGATTTGTAAACGCTGGAATGAAGTTTCCTTACTATTTGTACTTCCAAATTATGCGAAGACATTTTTTTGGTTCGGAGAAATTAATGACTAACTTAAAAAGCCGAGCTAAACCGTCAGAAGTGTTTTGTTGTTATGACAGGCAATTCATGTCACATATTTCCGTTCTTAACCTTAGAACTCACAACTTACAGCTCCACTTTATGGTGCCGTTATAATGCTCATCACGAGGGCCTGTCGAGAAAATCTGCAGTTTTTCAACTTTGTTCTTGGCGCTCAGTGTCTAATTAGCTCTTGCTTCTGTGGTTGACACCCTACCACCCTGTGGAACTGTTGCAAGGCTGCTCCTTAAGCAGTGACCTCTGCTCCGTAACGTAAAAGCCTCGTGCCCCGCGGGTCTCGTCTAAATGTGTGTGCATAAGCTCCTTTGACGGCTCTCCTCATCACGGTTGTGTAATATTGAGATATTGTGTCATGCCATCGCCACCCACGACACGTTTTCCAGTACTGTATCACAATTTATGTGTTTCCTTCCATCATCATCGTCATCGTCAGAATCCGCCACGATTGATCCACTGCTGGATGAAGTCCTCCTTCAGCCTTCGCCGTCTCTCATGATCCTGCGATGCAACAATTCACCGAGCACCTGCGCACATGAGCTGGTTTTCTCACTCCATCTCCCTGGTGGACGTCCTCTCGGATGCGTACCATTACTTGGATGCCGCTCCATTTTCCTTGGCCATTAACCGTCATCCCTCGTAGCCACGACGTGTCCTGCCCAAGCCCACATACTTTTCTTAACAGTGTGAATGTTGTATTTTAACTTCATCAGATCTGTTGCTGTGTGCGATCTCTGTTGCAAAGGATATCCGAGTACATGTAGCCACCTGGGGTTGGTTAAGCGTTCTATATATATATTTTTCAATTTAGTTTCTCTAATTATCAACATTGTGGGTTTGGCAATCAACCCCAACATTTATACGAGTAGGTCATTCAATGTTGGCAAGCCACATTCTAATAATTATCTAAATATTTATAGGCTGCTCAGAGCCTTTAATCAGTTACTATTTGCAAACTTTCCCTGTAGTGATAATGTTGATCAATAGAACCTCAATACACACTTTGATATATATAAATACATTTTTTATAAAATTGCCTTTTGTAGAAATTTGGATTTGTCCTTTGGAAGGCAGTTTATTCGTATACATTGTATGTAACGCGTTCACTTGACCTCCGGTGCACCTCGAAGCCTCTTAATTCACCACAATAAAAAAAACCCATTAAATTCCTGAATCAAATCCAGACCACTATGAATGGTGACAATTCATAGAATTACATCGCAATAATTGTCCCCTGGCGTGTCGGATGTGTGCTGTGATCGCACGTGTTTTAGATGCTTTTATAAACCTAAATTGTGAACATGCTTACAGTGTTGATCATGAGCCACTTTCAGTCCACTGCTAGATGATTAAGGCCTTTCCACGCTGACAGGGCCAGGTGGCTGCAGTTCATCTATCCTCGCATCGGCTTTTGGCTAACCATCGAACAAAGACGGTCACCGCATCGCGCGCTTTCAGATGCGCTTCTGCAGCCGTCTGGAACGCTCTTCCTTGCGATATTAGGAAGCCACTGGAGCTATGCACTTTTAAATCATCTAGATTGAAAACTAATTTCTTTAAAACTGCTTTTTGTGTTTAGTTTGTCCCTCCCCCGCACCTCCAATGAGCACGGTTGGCTACTTACGGTGCAAAAGAAGTTCAACATACATACGTTCGTCCCCAACATATGCCTTGGCTTAATTTATCCTTCTCCTCTCTGCTCGCCTGTTCGCACTTCTTTTCTCCCCGTCACCTCCCTTGCACCGGCACGCTCTACCAAATTACGTGTGAAACGCAGTAATGATAGCGATCGTGATGTTCGTCCCCCAATTTCACGTGTCTCTTCTTGTCATTTAAAAAAATATCCCAAGAATGTATTCATCCCTCTGTGTGCTTTTCCGATTTTGTCACAGTTTTGCTGACGCACAAAGGGTTTTGCTGACGCACAAAGGGTGAAAGTGCTATTTTCTATCGCAGTATATTGCCATGAAGATAAATATGATAAATATGCCCTGTTATGAGGGAGACACTATAACATGATAGGGTTTTAAGACGAATATCTCCCGTATAGCCTGAACAGGCTGTTGGGGCAAGTGCTGTTAGCAAGCACCTATGAAGGCCGGCACAGCACACGAGGGGGCGGATGGCCAGCACTACGCCCGGCCGCCTTTGTCTCCCCAGTGGCGATGTTTACACACCGCACCAGGTACTAATTTGAGGCTGAGTAGATCTAGAGGAGGCCCAGGACCGGTTCAGATATTCATCACTGGTGTTGGCCATGAGCGGGAATCGAACTCGGACGGCCACTCAGGGTTGCAAACACACACCCATGCGCACGAGCTCGCCAACTGCACGTACAGCGTTCATATTGACCGCAGAATGGTATGTACCTTCAAGTCGAATCCAAGAAGGGGGTGGAGAGACCATTCGGTTTCCATGGCTGTCTCATTGTTCGGCCAAGTTGTGACTTTGCAAACTGTGGGAGAATTTGCTTTTACCAGCCGTGTACGAGCTCGGCATGTCTGGTAATCATGTCATCATAACGCGAATCCTCTCGGAGGGGCAAGTAACTGCAAGCCTTGTGTTAGGTTTTTTTTTATCTGTGTCAGTGCCGCTGGATAATAGTTCATTTTGAAGAGAGTAGAACAAAAAAAGAGGGAGCTTGGTGCCTGCCTTTGAATTTGACTTTTGACATTGACATTTGTTATTCCGTTTTTGTGCAGGGTTGATGGACCTTTATTGAAATATTCATACATTACTGAGAGCATTTATCATTAAAAAAAGCCAAATTAGTGGCACCCGAAGCCCACCTTTGATTTTCGTTGCGCCGTGGGATATAGAACGTTACCAAATCAACTAACCGCCCCTCCTCTCCCGCCCGCCCGCCCCAACCCCCAACCTTCTATTTTGTGAAAGATTTCAAATCCAGACACGGCATGATGGTCCTGTAATTATTCTATCCGCGGCGCTGTTGGTTTTTTGTGGGGGTTTTGGGGCCGCTGGCCACATGCCCGCAGCCACAGTTAAACAACTGAAACGCAACTGAACGGTGGCAAAGCATTTCAACGTATTCATCGTCATCGACTCTCAGGCCCCTCGCGTGGGAAAGTGCGGCCGCCACACTTGACTAACATGGTCACGAGGCACTGTGAGGGAAATGGCGGGGGATTGTCCTGTGAAATTATGTCTTTGCGTTTCTTCAAAGCGATTATGTAAATTAAGACCTTCGAAATGCGTTTTAACGTAATCCTCGCGAAAAGTGCACGAGTTGAGTTTTTGACAGCGTGCGTTATAATGGGGGCTTTCACAGCCGGTATCTTGGACATGGGCCGTGCCTGCCTCGCCCATAACTCATCACAATATTGGCTATGTTTGATTAGCTTTCATTCAGGGTTAGCTGAGTTTATATAATGTGCAATTTGTGTATTTCTCTCCAACACTGGTTTATGGAGGAGAAAAACCAATTTCTTCAACATTATTTGACCCGGAAAAGCCTCACTGAGTCTTAAGATACTTTTCTCAGGAGGGTCCTGCTAATTCTGAAATCTAGGTGGTAATGTTGCCACGTGTTTTCCCAATTGAGTAGTTTGCAGGTGACTTTTATAACTGTACGTAGAACTTCTTTCGCACCGTACATAGCCAACCTGTGCTGATGTAGAGGTGCGGAGCTCAAGTTCTTATCATTTCAGCACACGCCCAGCGTGTTGGGATAGCAATCCACAACATTTAAATGATATGCGGTAGAGCACACGCCCATCGGTTTGCACTGTTGCCGGATCCTAAATAGGTGCTCGCTCACCAACAGATCCGATCGAACCAAGATGCTTGCGCACGTATATGGCCTACTCTTTTTCGAATAATGTTGCGAGCCCTTTCACTCCCACTGCGGCGTAAAATCGCAAGCCGTGTTGCACGGCAAGGCATTAACCAGGGTGCCTCCTGGGGTTCGAACCTCGGAAGATCTGCAACAAGGGGCAAGCGTGCTACCACTCGGCCACGTCGATTCCCCACGGAGAGCCAGTTGTTATTCGGGAGTCTAGTTTTTTTTTTATCGCGTGTCTCAAGATTCAGATGTTGCAGAATTGTTAGATGGGCAACACATTCTGTGACTCTCGTATGCAGAGTGGCCTTCATCCAGCGGTGGAACGATTTCCATCACAAATTTTAAACGTGTACGTCACCATTGTTATTACTATGATGGTGGTCAACAATAGAGCCTTACCTTATTATCGGTTACTCCTCCGTTTTGAGCTCATAATGAAATGCTTTCCGCACACTTGTGTGAAATCACAGAGGACGTCGTAATTGGAAGACCGCATATGTTGATCTCCTGCTTTTGTCTCTGTGTGCGGACTTGACACGCTTGCCCTATGTTCGTAATATTTGGCGAGTTTGGCTCTGGAGGGGAGATTAGCAAGGAAGATATTTTTCATGGATTTTTTGTTTTCTACTTTTTTGTATAATATTTCGCTTTTTGGCAAGACTTGATTGCAAAATATCTCAATGAAACCAAACCCCTTTGTTACACTGGAGAGAAAATCTTGACAATTGAGTCGTATTTGGTACGTCGTGCTTGTAACGTGTACATGTGTGTTGTGTTGTTATGCTCTTGTTTGTATGTATGTATGTTGAACTTCTTACGCACCGTACGTAGCCAACTGTGCTAATCGGAGTAGCGAGAAAGGGTGACGACTGTAAACACTAAATATTACCATCGAGGAGTATTGCGAATATTTATCTTTTCGCGTTTTTTAGCAGTAAACCAAATAATTGTTGTTTCCTGTACGCTCTTTATTCGCGTTAGTCTTGAATTAAAGTTGCTATTTTCTATCACGAAAGTCAGCCACATCTGCGAAGCAAGCATAATGGTTTCAATTCATCAGTCTAAGGACGTCACGTCCATCACAGTGGAAGCTGGACATCACCCGTGAATGATGTGCAAGTATCTTGTTAAAGCCTCATTACGTTTCGCCGTCAATCCCCCTGTCACTCTGCTGCCTTGTCGTGGGCACCATCGCCGCTCGAATAAGTGCCACCGATAGTCGGCAACGTGGCTGAAGAGGAGGCAGGCAAGGGCAGAGATTCGCGAAGAATGCGGTGGCTGCAGTGGTTGGCTAAAATAGCAGCCTTATCGGCATTCTTCTGTCATCTGCACTGCCACTAGAATGAATTCGCTTTGGAGAATGTTGGAAAGTGTTGCTTACGCGGGTTGTTTTTTTCTCCACAAAGTCTCGGTGGCGTTGAACCCAGTAGGGAAATTCCACATTTATATGGCGGTGACCAGTTTCTTAAAAAAAAAGAAAAGACAGCCACTGGCCGACTGACCTTGGGGTGGTGAGCGAAAAGTTGAGCGATTGCATTTGTATTATTTGTCCACCGACACAGACAAACCGCCGCCCCCCCCCCCTCCACATTCATCATTAGCAATTCCTTGCAGTACAAACGGCTCCTCAGAGCAACACAATGCCCGTTGCCCAACACATCAGTCCATTTTGTATTGTCCTGTTCTAATAATGCAATGCATTTGGCGAATGTGATGAGAATTTGTTACGCACCAGTTGGCTCTCATATGACACCTCTAAGAGATGTATAAATGTATATATATATATATACCGTACTGTATACTAATATGTGCGCACCTAAATAAAGTGTATAGTGTATATAGGCATCATATTGACTCGAAAGAAAAGTTAATCAGCTAACTCACACCCACAACTTACGTTTAACTTCTCTCTTTATTTTACTTTATAGAATTGTTCATTATTGATTTAAAGCTTTTGTGACTGCAGGAATCCATACTCTTTGGGTCTTTCTGTAAAGTCACGTAGGTAGAAAATAATAGATCACGACGTTTCGATAGCAACACAAGCCATCATCCTCAGGGGAAACAACACAGCAGGCGGACTGCTGAGGCAAGGTGGCAGTAGCGCTCTCGCTACATTTCCTCCTGCCACAGCAGTCCGCCTGCTGTATTGTTTCACCTGAGGACGATGGCTTGCGTTGCTATCGAAACGTCGTGATCTATTAGAATTGTTCATTTTCATGTTTACATGTCTGACGATGTGATGACGCTTTGGGTGGCTGAATTGTACCAGCAAGGCGCCGCGTGTTAACCAAAAATAAATTGACTTTGACTCGAGTTGGCGCGGATACGTCGCTAGAAGGGTCGATGTGCAGTGATGAAGGCTACCGATAGAGTGGCTGCCAAAGGAGCGAACGCACCCGAGAGGGCAATGAAATCAGCTCGTGCGCAGGAGCTCAATTGATTGTTGCATCACAAGTCCAATGGAATTGTATTGGAGAAGCCTTTATCCAGCAGTGGATATAGAGCATGGTTGCTTGCTGCTGCTGCTGATGATGATATGTGTGTTGAAATTATTTTGCACCGTACGTAGCCAACCATGCTGAATCGGAGGAGCAGGGGAAGGACAATAAACTAAACACAAAAAAGCTGATTCTCAAGAAATTAGTTTTCAATCTAAATTATTTTAAAGTGCATAGCTCCAGTGGCTTCCTAATATCAGAAGGAAGAGCATTCCAGACGGCCGCAGAAGTGCATCTGAAAGCGTGCGATGCGGTGATCGTCTTTATTCAACACAGAATATCCTGTATGCTGTATCTTAGTCGAGTGTGCTAATGTTCAGCGTTGTGGATTTTGATTTTACGTCACTTTATTGTTAATTTCCAGTCATCCACAATGGGCATCTAATCTTCATGGACCACATTGCAGATGACATGTCTGGGGCGGCTCTCATACCCGCGGGGCCGGAAGCGTGGATGCCTTACCCCCTGTACGCGGCAGAGTTCGCCCCGGGCCTGCCCCACCACGCCTTCGCCTACACGCCGGCCGCCGCCACCGCGGCCACAACGCTGCACACACAGGTATATCAATCCGAGAGGGCCATCTGCTATCGCTACACACACAGGTATCTCAATCCTAGAGGGCCATCTGCTATCGCTACATACACAGGTATATCAATCCGAGAGGGCCATCTGCTATCGCTACATACACAGGTATCTCAATCCTAGAGGGCCATCTGCTATCGGTACACACACGGGTATATCAATACTAGAGGGCCATCTGCTATCGGTACACACACAGATATCTCAATACTAGAGGGCCATCTGCTATCGGTACACACACAGATATCTCAATCCTAGAGGGCCATCTGCTATCGGTACACACACGGATATCTCAATCCTAGAGGGCCATCTGCTATCGGTACACACACAGGTATATCAATACTAGAGGGCCATCTGCTATCGGTACACACACAGATATCTCAATACTAGAGGGCCATCTGCTATCGCTACACACACAGGTATCTCAATACTAGAGGGCCATCTGCTATCGGTACACACACAGATATCTCAATACTAGAGGGCCATCTGCTATCGGTACACACACAGATATCTCAATCCTAGAGGGCCATCTGCTATCGGTACACACACGGGTATCTCAATCCTAGAGGGCCATCTGCTATCGGTACACACACAGGTATCTCAATACTAGAGGGCCATCTGCTATCGTTGCACACACAGATATCTCAATACTGGAGGGCCATCTACTATCGGTACATAGGTAGTCAAATGCAAAATGGTATCTTGTATCGTTACATAAATTAGTTTTTCAGGCTGGTGAAAAAGCTTACGTAATTTTCTTCTAGATCTAAAACAAATACATTTGTCAGCTAATTTTAAGAGGTATCGTTTGCTTCTTCTTAACTAAGTAAATGGTGATGTTATTCCAGTCTACAACAAACTTTAATTTATAGTCTGGTCACTAATTAGGTTAAAGTCTATTCATGACACCTGAGCTTGAGTTATTATTGGCAACAGCATTGGTAGATTAACCACACATATCGTCGGTTTATTTTCTGATGCAATTACCTATTAAACCCTGTAGAGGTAATCCTTTTTGTGCCTTGACAAGTCGGCTGTCGGGCTCTATGACAAAGTCCAATGCAATGTGGCACACTCATTCGCCCACCATCTCACCACATGGCCACTCGGTGGAGGCTCTGTGCATCTTCACAACGACAATTGTTCATATAATTTTTTATGCCAACATTAAGACTCAGCCCAACCACTGGGCATGCTGCCTATTGGTGTCAACACTCTGGACTTGCATCGGTAGGTCACCGGTTGGATGTCCAGAATCGGTAGGTTTGTTAAAATCCTCCCGCCTCTATTCACCCATCGGTATAAACGGGTAAATCACATGCCGATGGGCAGGTTGTGTGCGGTGGGGCAAAGTATTGCCGTTCACCACATCTACCGAGGTGTTTGGTGAGCATGGAAGAGTAGGCCAAAACACCCTCTAAATCTCCAAGGCATTGTAGGGATGCACCTTCACCTCTTCCCAACGCAATCAAAAATGAGGTGGATCATTCCAATGAGTGAGGTAATTTTATCATCGTAAAGCCAGGCACAGAATCGTGGGGTCTTTTTCCTGGAAAGTTAAAAGGCAACTATGTCAGTGTGTTGAACTTCTTTCGCACCGTACGTAGCCAACCACACTTATCGGAGGTGCGTGCGGGGGAAGGACAACACACTCAACACAAAATGCAATTCAAACAACAAACTAATTGTCACTGCCCACTTCCAATTCCATGCTCTCCACATAATTCATTGGCACAATCACCCCTATGACACCACTAATATGGAGGGATACAGTGAATATCTCGTTCTTAAGGAATATAAATTGATCACTTAGTGTGGACCGCTATCAACTGAAGGTTGAAGTATATATGCAGTGCGTCGAGTATTCGTGTGTCCTTTTGTGTCTGTGCCATGGCCTAAATCTCAAATTCCAAATTACAACCAAACTTTGAAAATATGGATTCCTTTTGTAATAAAGTTAGAAGGGCCCACCTTGAGAAGGGAATATTGTATCTCAATTCAGTCTCACCTGATGTAAAAAGCGATCGATGCACATATGGTGTATGCATGTCTATGCCTTTATTGTGGACAAATGTGTTTGTGATACTGCATTGGGAGTGGTGCACGAAAACAAATCACAAACAACCAACGCATTGGTCAATAACAACACTGCTCGAAGAAGAAGTCGTATATCATAGGCGACGTTCCAGTCAATGGCCCTTCTTCAGCTCTGCAGTGAAGAAGCGCCATTGTCCAGAAATGGTCATCTACGACATCATTTTTTTCTTCTTTCTCCTAGGGCAGTGTCATTGATGAATGTGCAGAGTATTGTAGAGAAACATTCAAGCCAAAAAAAAATACAATGGCACATCATCCACAGCCGTACGTGAATTATTTGTCAGTACAGGTAAAAAAAAACCCTATTTTTAATGAGGCCGTTCTTTTACACGAGAGCCACTCGCGTTGTGTTGCCGTGCAATCGAAGCGACACTTACAAGTCACAGGGCTGAGCACTTAGCAGAGCCACGGGGGTGTATGATGGTTGAGATCCAGCCTGGCAGGCTCGTGCATGTTTCATCATGCCTTGCCTCCACTCGGCCTCCTGGACACATTAAAAATCTGTTAATTTTTAACCACATGAATGTTTAACTGTTCCCGCTTAATAATTGTTGACTTTCATTTCCTTTAAACAGCCGTTCAATGCTTAGACTGGCACTGCATTAAAACGACTTGAAGGGGGAGAAAAAAAACGAGACTGATGTATAACTCAGATGTAGCACTATGGAATTAAAATTACGATTCAGCCGTAGAGATATTGAACTTTTTCTTTACTATGATGCCATTCCAATGAACTTAACATCTGATGTGTGTGGCGGTCGGCTTGCTTATTTAGCACACTGTAATAGCAGCCCTCGCCTGCAACAGTTCTGGGTGAGTGGGCAGAGCTTTCAGGAACAGTTCACCGCAAGTTTGTCCAGAAGACTGATGGTGAGGTGGATTTCTGAAATTTTATTTGCAGGTTCGCTGGTTGCCACCCCCAGCAGAGACGGCCCCACAGGGCTGGAAGGGAAGGCAGTTCTGTTAGGATGAGGGTGAGTGCCTCCTTGCCATGTCATTCTGTGCTTTCTCCTCCTCATCCTTTGACCTTGAAAACTACACTACTCTTGCTGTCCGCAAGCAGATGTCACAAGTGGGCAAAATATAACGGAATGGATCGAGACGTCATGTTATGCTCGCTCGCTGTGTGCACCTCTTCCACAAGTGGGAAATTATAGATGGCCCACAGTGCGTTGACCGTGGTCACCCTAACCAAACAATGGCCCTTACAGCGAACAACTGTACTCTTACGCCCACTCTCTGGCAGATCGGACAGTATTGGTCACGCTACTCACGAAGCTGCCACATGGCTCACAAACTTAAACCTGGATGTATAATTGACACATGCTCGCCATGCAGTAGAAGAAGATTACCGCTGTGCCGCTTCTGCCAACACCGTGGCGAATCCAAGTTTGTTGCTGTCATCATTTCTCGACTTGTAATCCCCTTGTTGGGGTGGAGCGGTGGCACGGCGTTTAGTGCACCGCACTATGATCCAATTGTCTCAGCCGCTGCCAGCGTTGCCGATGAGCGATATATCTGAACCGGTTCCGGGGGTGGGGGAGGGCCTCCTTCACCAACCGGCACTGACCAGCGTGGTGAAGTATGGGTCAATCGACTCCGATGACCAACGCAGCCTGGAGAGACCTTTAATGCGGCAGTCACTTTACAAAGAGGCTGAAGTTATTAATGATAATAAAATATTAAGATAATCACGATTATTTAGTTTTCACATCCCGTCATGTGTTCGTTGCCGACACTTTCTCTTCCTCTCTCGCAACGTCTCGTCACCGTTTTCACTGTTTCCACAAGATCTACTGTGGCCCGTCCCTTAACCAATTTTGGTAATTTTGTTAGATGAGTGGTCGGGGCGGTTTACATAGCTTTTGAACTTTTTCAATCTAAATAAAGCTCCAGCCATTTGGAAAATTGCATGATGTCATGCAAGAAATCAAAACTTTCTCGCTAATTCTGTGAAGTTTTGGCATGCTTTGCCATTGCCCACGTGTAAGCAATTTACTCACTCAACGGCTGGCTCCGATGACGCCAATATTCGCACTGCTTTACCCGAGGTGCTTGCAAAAACGCAATCGATCTCGCTCATTGTCAGAGCGCCTCTGTGAAAATAGTTACCTGTGAATGTTTTTTTTTCTCTCCCAATTTTTGGGCTGCGATTGGCACCAATGGAAATCCACGCAACGTTCGACCTGCATCAAACCAGATGTGCATCACTTGTCGAGGAGCTGATAATGTACAGGTCTTTAGATGGAGAGGCCTCCCCCACGCCGCTTGGCCTATGGGGGGGGGGGGTTGTGTGACATTACTTCACCACACTCTGGACAATACTGGTTGATACAAGGGGTGCCCAGGAACCGGTTCAGATAGCAACTGGCTGGGCATCAAACTCAGGCTGCTGGGTTCATAGTCCAATGTGCCAACAGCCACTGCTTTCAGCAGCAATAATACCCGGGAACAGAAAAAAACAACAACAACCTGCCTTCACTCCAAGTTGCAATTTTTTATTGTTTAAAAAATATCCAGCTGAACTATGTTCAACAAATGTGCATTTTATTGCACCAGCAGCCAACAGTGCAAGCTAGACGCTGCTGTAACTGCGCAGCTCCCCATTGTCCTCTGCCATGACCTACAGTGAGCACATTTGTCCTTCATGCTGCCTGCGCAGGATCTGCCCGGTACTGTTTGGCATTCACACGGTGAAAAAAAAATTAACCCGTAAAAACAAAGTTTTTCACTATAAATCCTTTATATGCGTGGCGGCTAGAGTCCTCTCGTCCTCTGGCTTGAGATGGCTGCCACCTATGGGTCAGATTATTGTCTGCCACCATTAAGCAATTGGTAATTAAATATTTAAAAAAAATTCCTAAAAAGTGTAAAATGTAGGAAAAATTTTTTTCACGAAAATACATTATCACGCACAACGAGTCTGTGTACAAAATGTCAGCTCGATTGGATCACGGGAAGTGGGTTAAAAAACGACCGAAAGATTTGCACAGTCGTAAGCGCGCAAGCAAGCAAGCAAGTGAACTTAATATAAAGGATTTAAAAAAAAACGCCACGCCTGTGAACACAGAATACGTGAAGTGCCCCAGATTGACTCCACTGTACCCCACTCTGCCGAATGACAAAAGTAGACTTGGTGTGATTTTTCTCCCGTCACTTTTATATTTAGAACCTCTTAACATATTCTTGCATGCGTGCAGCTGCTTATCGTGGGGGCAGTAATGTCTTTTGTTCATCACCTGTGTGTGTGTGTGTGGCTTTGTATGCCCCTGTGTGTGTGTGTGGCTTTGTTTTTTGCGGGGGAGCGGTGGCACAACGGTTCGTGCACCGCACTACGAACTCGGAAATCTTAAGTTCGATTCCCGCTCACGGCCAAAATCGGTGGCGAATATTTGATCTGCTGGCGGGTTTCCCCAAGGTCGACTCAGCATTAAACGAGTACCCCATGCAGTGTGTAAACATCTGCAGTGGGGAGAAAAATGTGATCAAGCGTGATGCTTGCCCCCCCCCCCAACCCTCTTGTAACTTAACTGGCCCTTACAGGTGCTCGCTAGCAGCACTTGTCCCAGCAGCTTTGACAAATCATTGTCTTTTGCTGATTTATCGCCTTCAGAGGCACATTAGTGGCGAGATGTTACGTTTCCCGTCCGGTGTGCAGGAGGTCGTGGGTTCAATCCCGACCCTGACGCCTGCCGCTGTATATTTCGAGTTTGTGATGTCTCTCTCTCTCCGTGGTCGTGTGGATTTTTCTCCGGGTCCTCATCTAGAGTATTTGGCTGCTGTAAATTTCCACGTGATAAGCCACTCTGTTGAGATATTATTTGTGGCCAGGTCACTTCTGAAAAAATAGCTATATAGCTCAGTGGACCTTACCTGCTAAAAAAGTAAATAGTTTAAAAATGCGGTGGGTGCCGGTGGGTAGGCTGTAATTATTACGACAACGTAGTCAATCGCAACTGTTATGCGATGCAGTAGCTTTGTCGACCACTCGTACCCAGCTTTTGCCTGGTTTTGCACGCCCTTGTTCCTGACAACTGACGTGTGCCTCGCTGCTGTCCCTGTGCAGTTTGTTGGATGTGCGATGTGGCGTGTGACCCTGCTTGGGCGGCTCCCGGGCAAGATGAATTGTGGGCGACGCGTTGTGATGGGGCAGTCAGGAGCCGCATGGCCATGGAAGGGAAAGGCTCCCAATACGTGAGTAATAGAATCTGTCAGGGCTTTTTACCGAGACCTGGTTACCGAGTGTTCACCAGCGCCGTTTAATATTAGGGGGCGGGGGGGGCGGGCGGTTCTTTCGAGTGTGGGAATGGTCGTGTGCTTGCCTCTGGTCGGGTTTTCTCGGGAGTCAACAGTGGGGTTATCGTAGCCGACGTGTCCGATAACGCAGGGTATTCTTCAGCGAAGCACAAATGTTGGTAAAACGCCAGTTTCATCTTCACCTTTGTGTGCGCTGTGCCACCAAAACTTTGGTTATCACTTTCATCACCCTTATAATATGTGTGCACTGAGCTCTGGATCACGCATGCGCGCACTCTGAAACGAACTTCCACGTTCCGCGCTAATTGTTACCGATTGCATTTTCGCCGCGCGTTTATAACTGCAAAGAATTAATCGCCGGAGCGATGCGCGTATCACGATGATAATGACGGAGGATGCGACGTTGTGGTTAAGACGGCCGTTGACTCGCCGCTGTGGGCTCGGGTTTTGCGCTTGTGCCGTTGTGAGATGCTGAGGGGAATGACGCGGCCCTAACTGTCGGGAACCCCTTGGCCACAATGGTTCCTTCCCATACTCATCCCCAGGGCACGCAGTGCCCTCTATTTGTCCTTAAAGGGCCAAGTTATTCTTTATTAAATCTTTACCTGCCGTTGATAATCAACCACAGTAACAAATCAACATGCTCCTATTTTGTTCGGTGTAAGACTGTTCGGGTTTGCGTACTGCATCATATTTTTATAGAAACACATCTTTTTGGAAGCCCATATAATGGTTAACTTTACACGCGAAGGCACGTCAGTGTATTTTTATGAGCCTCTCACATAAACGTGTAAATTTCTGCCTTTTGAATCGCAATGGCTTGGCAGACAAAGGAGTAGAATGCGTCCGAGAGGACGTCTGCTGACGAGACGGAGCTATTTTTTTACATCAGTTTTGAGTGAAGGTGATCGGTAGAAAATTCGATCGCGTGATCTTCACAGTTGGCGGTGGCTCGTGGATATTCATCCAGCAGTGGATTGAAAATGGCTTACTGATGATGATGCTTACGTGAAATAACCGTCTCAAAAGATGATTATTCTCAAGATTGTTTTAACCTTTTGAGAGGAAGGGTTACCGTTTCATACCCGAACCATTACCACACGAAACATCTAATCGTGCAATCTGGTCGATGTTGCTGTCTGCGCCATTGTAGCTTTACAATTAAGATTGTCTCCTAAAAATACTCCGAACAGCATGCATCGAGTCAACAACAACAACAACAACCTGTCCTGCATTGTTTGTTTCCTTCTGTTTATCAGACTAAACGCGACCTCACATCTGATGCCCTGCATCGTTCCCCGGGGGCTACCAACAGCATCACACATCCAACAAACGTAGCAATCATCGCTCATGTTTTGCCTTTTGATACCTTATTCAATTTATTTAAGAACAACGACGAAAAAAAAGATGATCTTTCCAATTGTATAAAGTAAATCGTCATTCTAAGCAACAAATTGTCTATGATATTTTTATATCCAAAAAAAAAAATGTACGCTTCTAATCCGTTATTACGTTTTGGATTTTGTGTGTTTCTGTTGCATGCTCTTTATTGTAAAAATAATAATGAATAATAATAAAAAGTTAATACCGTATGAATTATTATAGATACATAATTGCTGTAACAATTTTATTAGAAGAGGAATTGTACTCGGATGTTTAAAAAAAATATTTCAAAAGTGCAATGTCTTTTGGTAACATTCTAAAATAATAATAATGGTTTTTTGTTAGTTTTGTTTTTGCTATGGAACACTTTTTCATGCAATATGTTCATACAGGTATACAATATACTGTCTGGTGCCATTGGTAAGAGTAACACAGTTGTATCGCTGCAGGAGATGTTATTTGAAAATTGTGTTTTAAGAAATGCGGTTATTTGTGCTCCATACAATTGGGGGGCGGGGGGGGGGAAGGATAAAGTATTTGCTTTTCATTTTGTAAAATATTTCTGGGTTGTGTCTGGCTACCCATGCTAATATTGTAAATGCTTTATGAGCATTGTACTTTTTTCTTCATTAAAAAAAAACTGTTAAAATCAACAACTTTTCTTGTTGCTCTGTGACTCTTTTCAATTCGCTGTTGGTATTACTCTGAGTCGGTACATTTGTCTGGCCAAGTGACCTCAACACTAGGGCCAGCGACTTAAAAATCGAAAGGTTGTGAGTTCATACCCTTGTTGTGGGGGGGGGGGGCGTAGATTCAGCCCATCACCTCTCTGGGGTCGATAAAATAGTTAACCTTTTTTTGGAAAGTCAACAATGGTTGTCCTATGGATAGACTCACCCCTGCCATAAGAATGAAGAAATTTCACCACTGTGTTCCAGGTCTGAATACAGGGAATGAGCACCAATGCCTCTGCTTCATTGAGCGATAATGACTGCTGGCTTTATCGTCTATAGAAGGTTAAGCTTAACAAAACCACGAGTCTTGATAAAAATGCTCTTAAAACTATTCAACAATTTTTTTTATTATACCAGGTTCGGCCCACTTAGCTATATAGATATTTTTCAGAAGCGACCTGGCCACAAATGGTAGCTCAACGAAGTGGTTTATCACGTGGAAATGTACAGCAGTCAAATACTATCAACGCACGTTTCTAAATGTGGAGGGAAAAACTGGAGGACCCAGAGACAAATCTACACGACCACTGGGAGAAAATGCAAATTCCCAATATACAGCAGGTGTCAGGGTCCAGATTGAACCCACGACCCCCTGTGTACCAGTCGAGGTAGTTAAAATATCCACACCATGGCACCCAAATACCTACATGGTGCTAAATGCCAAGAGCCACCCAAGTAATGTGAACTTTAGTGGAACTTTTCTGGTAAAACCACGTTTAAATGTAAAACAGCCACCTTAGTTCTGGTATATATCTGATATTTGTTTATAACGAAATATTGGGACGGGACCTTTGAGCTCTTCCAGTCATAGCCGATGATTAAAGCGAGGAGGAGGAAGAGGAGGAACACGGCGCAACGACTTTCTCTGAGCCCCCTTGCGCTCCCTGGCAGGGTTTCCCCTGTTGTCAGCTTTCCGCACTGGCCAAACGGTGGCGCATTCGCCACTTGTTGCAGAGGTTTCCCGGTGGCATTCCAACGGCCGTCCTGATTAATGGGCGCCACATGATGGCCGAGATGTTAACTACCTCGACTGGTGTACAGGAGGTCGTGGGTTTGATCCCAACCCTGATGCCCGTATATTTGGAGCTTGCGTGTCTCTCCCCGTGGTAGCGTGGATTTTAATCCGAGTCCTCTAGGTTTCCCTCCACATTTAGAAAACATGCGTTTCGAGTATTAAACTGCTATAAATTGTCGACGCAATAAGCCACTTCCCTGAGCTATCATTTTTGGCCAGGTGGCTTCTAAAAATGAATCTGTATAGCTCAGTGGGCCTTACCTGGTCAAATAAAAAAAATAGTTTAGTTTTAACAGCGGTTGTAATAACTGCGACGACACGCGCAGCCATCTGCTTCACAGTGGAGGTAAAAGTCCCCCTGATGCCATTCACAAGACTCGGCCATTGTGTGCCGATGTCACGCTCCAAATTTTCCGGATTCGAAAATTCCCTACAAATTACTCATTGGGACAAACGATCGTCGCCCACGCTTGCAAATGAGACTCATCCTGATATCTTGATTTATCACCTGATTAATATACTGTTTTAATGAAGAAAATGTACAATAGATGCTGGATCTAAGCGCACCCTGTGTAAGCATATTTCTCATCATTGGACCTCCTTTGCCAGTACCAAAATATAATAATAATAGGGTTTTCCCCCTTTTTTCTGGCAACAAAACTGAAACCTTTTTATGAGGATTCATGTCTGCATTAACCACAATGCCTGCAGTCAAATGCAAACAAAAAACACAAGAAAGCCGTCCCTTGGTGTGGACCAATCAGCTTCAAGGACAATGCATATATTATCATCGTGTGCTTTTGTTTGCATTTGACTGCAGGTATTGTGGTTAATGCAGACATGAATCCTCATAAAAATGGTTTCAGTTTTGTTTGCCAGAAAAAAAGGGGAAAACCCCTATTATCATATTTCTCATTAAAAAACACATCCTACATTACGCTGGTGGGAGGAAGGTGATGGGTAACTTCTGATACAAGCACACGGCGGAAATAAGCACAGCTCCACTTTCCCAATGTATTAAGAGCAATGATAATCAGGAAGAATGTTAGGGATGGAGTTGGCACTTTACAGAGTGACAGGAAGTGCAGTGAAGTTGCAACAATCGCACACACCCTCATACTGTTGTTCTCACTGCTAAATGCAAACACCTGTTTCCACATCCATTTGAGGGCGGCGGTGGGGGGGGGGGTACCAGTTTATTCACTGAATGTTCACTACAATAGGCATAACATTCAACATCACGTTATAACAATTCATGGAATGGAACACTGCCTTGGAGTGGTGAAGACTGACCCATGCGGTTTGCATGTTCTCATTTTGGTCACGTGGATTTTTCCCCTGGGCCTTCCAGTTTTTACCCCCCCCCCCCCCCCACGTTTAGAAACACGCGTTTAGAGTATTTGACTGTATATACATTTCCACATGATAAGCCACTTCGTTGAGCTATTATTTATAACCAGGCCACTTCTGAAAAACAGCTACAGCGTATAGCTCATTGGGCCTTAACCTGGTAACAAATGTTAAATAGACTAAACACATTGCTAGTCAAGGACTCCCACAGATCTGCGTTGTGGTCGTGCTGTGTGTTGCTCAGCATGATGTTTGATGTTTGGCCACACGTCCAGGAGAGCTTCTACAGTAACATCGTGGCAAACAACACGCTGCACGACCCGAAAACAACAAATAATCGCAATAGGTATTGTGATTATCGCAATAGGTATTGCGATTTTTTTGGGGGGCAGAATGTAATTCACCGTCTAATTTCGTGCTTTTACAGGTCACCACCATACGTCGATGGTGATTTACTGTGAGCAGCCAATAATGGGTGTTGCGATTTTTGAGGCCCACAAATGACAGAATGTACATACATATAACGTGAATAAGCCAACCAAGAGGAGATATCCATTGTAATTTGTATGAATACACGAGCTTTACTACCCGGCTTCGCCCGAGACTTGGGTGGGGGGGTGGGGTGCGTGACGTCAGCAGGTACACTGCGTGACGCTGCCGCATGCGGGTGACTTCACAGATGTGACGTCACTGCTCACTTGCCGTGCAAAATATATCCATTATTGTGCCCCCCCCCCCCCCAAATACAAAAGTCTATTTTTATACTTTTTGTACAGTCTGGAAAGTACCCACATGGCAAATTTGAAGTTTGTTGCATGTCGGGAAGCATGCTAAACATTTCGAACAGACACATATTCACACATTTCCCTTTTATATATATAGACTAGCTTTACTACCCAGCTTTGTCCGGGACTTGGATTCACCACGCCCGGCCGCCTTTGTCTCCCCAGTGGCGATGTTTACACACCACACCAGTGACTCGTTTGAGGCTGAGTCGACCTAGGGGAGGCCCAGGACCGGTTAAAATAATCGTCACCGGTGGTGGCCGTGAATCGAACTCGGGTCGCCAGGTTCGTAGCGCAGCGCGCTAACCACTACACTACACACGCACGCACACGCGCGCGTCCATAGGTACACATACACGCGCTTGCTGCAGACACACGCAACTTTCAGGGTGCGTACGGCAGTAAACGACTGAAAGAATAAAGCAGCAATGCTGCGCGAAGAACGCCTTAGACCTGCAACACGTTTGTATGGCACTTTACTCGCGGAGAGTTGGGGGGGATGCGTGACATGAGCAGGCACACTGCGTGACGCTTCCGCACACGGGTCACATGACAGATATGACGTCACAGCTCACTTGCTGTGCAATATAGCGCCCCCTCCAAAAAAAGTGTACTTTTATAGTTATTGCATGGTGTCCAGTCTGGAAAGTACCCACATGGCAAATTTCAAGTTTCTTGCATGTCGGGAAGTACGCTAAACATTTTGAACAGACACGCATAATCACAAATTTCCCTTTTTATATATATAGAGATTAACCACCCTCCAACCCCCCCCCCCCCCCCCCCGTCTGGTCTTCCCACGTGATTGGCTCACAAATGACGACATCACAGTCACCCCTCTCTATTTAAGACCGAAACAGGAGGAGGATTTCTCCACAACTCTGGCTGTCGCCTGATGAGGCTGGTTGTAATTACCGGCGAAAACGTCGTACTCGGACTGTAATTGCTCTGGGTTTTACTCTCCAACACAGCGGTGTGCTGCGCTAGTAACTAACTGGCATGTTTTATTTACGTGACAAACCCTACTAATTGGCTGTGTCAGCTGGTGGTGTCAGGTGTAACAAAACATTTCTATTTACGCGATCTAGCACACAAAAAAGGGGATCATGACAAAAAAAAGGAACGACACGGCCACACTCGCGACAACCTATGCTGGAGTTATGTACATCCATGGCAGCTTCCGCAGCAGGAGGTAACGGCAATGCCCTGATTTACGTGTCCCCCTTTTACGTCTTTTCTTACATATACGTCGTCACGTGATTAACACCGTGACCTGATGTGTGTCACCTCAACCCCCCCCCCCCCCACACACACTCACGTCGCTGACAGCAGCATCGTACGTCCTTTCTCGCAGTGGCGTAGCTAGGATAATTTGCGCCTGGGGACGAACTATAAAATTGGTGCCCCCCCCCCCGTTTAATCACATAGCAAAATGTAATTACATGACATGTAGGCTGTGTGTGGCGGGATATATAAACTTTTAGGTTGAGGTGTAGATTTGTGCAGTAGTTTCAGGCTGTCGCGCCCGCCGCAATAAGTTTTAATGTCACGTTGTAAGCCTCATTTTGGCGCCCCTTTACCTTGGCGCCCGGGGACACGTGTACCCCCCTGCACCCCCCCCCCCCTAGCTACGCCTCTGATGTACTCGTATCCGTCGCCTCCACCTTGCCCTGGAAATCGCCTTGGGTTGACGTCGTTTCCATATTCGTCGTCGCACCTCGCAGGAACGCAATCAGCGTTCCTGTAAATTTCACTTTAAATTGTGC